ATGGGTAGTGTAGAGAAGTAATGAGCAAACACGATGTAACATTGAATTTAATAAAATAAATAAATATTATTATGTGCAAAATAAGACCATATTATATGTAAAGCTCGATTCGAGATTGTTGCGTCGACATTGGTAGTCGATATAATCTAAATGCGAAGCAGTGGGATGCACAGTGACACGATCGGTTGAATTGAGAGCCGAGAGCCTGCTTACGATTCAATGCGAGAAAACACGATCTGCGCACGAGAAAACTATGAGAGGTTGGAAGATGAGGAGAGGAACCGTTTCGTAATTATGTGTGAATGTATGTGTGAGAAAAAGCAGAAACGAATTCTCGATTGGCAGTAGCTGAAAAGAAAGGTTGAATGTGTGTGAGCATGAAGAGCGAAAGTGGTGGATAAAAAAAATAAAAAAAAAGGTTGTAAGATTCCCAGCGTACAGTTCCCGATTCATTCTTTCGGCTAATGTACTGAAGTACAGACGTGCTAGGCCTAACCATGGAAACACCGGTGGAACACGACAATGGCGCAGCATCGCCTCCCAAAAAGAAGTAAGTTTAGAATAATAAGAAAAATGGTGCAACGGTCGTATGTGTTGAAGATTATTAAAATTTGTGATTAAAATGATTATGTGCAACATGACAAACTTTGAACAGATTTTTTGTGAAGAGTAGTCAACAGCAGGCTGGCGAGAAAGGACAGTTTGGCTGAAGTAAAAAAAAAAATGACAAATTTACCAGCAATTTGGCGAGAAAAAGGACAGTTTTGCTGGAGCGAAAAAAAAATATGAATAGCAACCTGGCGGGATAAGGACAGTGTTTGCTTACGTAGATAGTTTTTAGCAGCATCCTGGCGAGACAAGGACAGTAGATGCTGAAGTGGATGAATAATTTAGGCAGCTATTTGGCGAGAAAAAGGATAGTTTTGCTGATGGATTGAATTCAATATTTTTCAAGACGCTAACTAATGCACTCAGGTTAGATTTGGAGTGATGGATATAATTAACAACGTAACGAAAATAGGAATGGTTTTTTTTTTATGGACAATAATTACATTTGTGAGAATGAGAATGGTTTTGATTGAGTGGAAGATGCTTAAATTGAAAAAAAAAGAAAATGAGGAAAATTTTGCATTTATAAGACAAATATAAAAAAATACAAAATGAGTTAAGAAGACTCCGTTTATTAATAAAGGTAATAATTGCTAGGGGTTAACCATCAGAAAGCTAATTGTTTATTCTGTAATAAAATAATTGACGGCATATATGTATTTTGAGGATTCATTCCCACCCAACATTTTATTTTATGTATATTATTACAGATTGTTTTAAAATTATACGTAAAATTCGTGTTTTGTGTGCAAAGTGGAAAGTGATGAAATTTTTTTTGTTCGATTTACATTATAGGAAAACTTCTAAGAAAAAGCTACGGAAGTCGTTAACATTGGCAATTAAGGAGAACACGTTGTTACGGGAAAAGATATTCCAGTATCAATCGCAAGAGATTGGTTCTGGGTTTTCGGGCGCTCCATCGAGCACATTGCGTGAGGATGTGAATATTCCTATTAACGCCGGTAATGAGTCGTTACTCATGACAACCATGAATAACATGACGATAAGTTCTCTTAATGTGCCGGAATGTAAGCCTTCTGAGGGCGAATCTGAAATTGACAAAGCTGTATTCGAACACTGGAAGGAAGTGTTAATGTCGGCACTTGACCTTATTTCTGCGACTGACGAACGATCGAAGATGGCCATTTTCAAAATCAAAGCAGGACCGAAGTTGTTGGAAATTTTCAACAGCACAGAGACAACAACAGATATGCCTGATGAATATGAAGTTCCATTTTCAAATGCAATTGCACGCATTGATGAGTATTTTGGGTCAAGAGCCTATACACTGACGCAGCGCAGCAAGCTTTTGAATATGATTCAGTCCCCAAGCGAAACCAGCATTCAATTTATCAGAAGAGTTGGGGCCGCTGCCAAGCTATGTAATTACGGGATTGACGAGGAAATTGAAGCAATCACTCGTACCGTTACTAAAGGAGCTAGTGACGGGCGAGTTCGCACCCTGGCCCATCGAAACTGGGTGCGCCAACGTTCGCTCAAAGATCTCATCGATTCGGTGCGAGACTGGGAAGTTGAGAAATCAAATGAAGAAGATTTCCAACGGAGTCGCGGTCAGCGAGTGGCCACTGTTGCTGCACTTGTTCAAGAATCACCTGAATCATTCAGACGTCAAAGTACAAGCAATGCAGGTAGTTGGCAGAGTGGATACAAACGACCAAACTTCCGTGGAGGTAGCCGAGGCCGCGGAGGATTCCGACAACAACGACAAAGTAACGTGTATGATACTCGGTGCTGGAGATGTGGCAGTGTATTCCATACAGAAGCCGTATGCCGTGTTAAAGAAAAAATATGTAATGCATGCGGCAAGATGGGTCACATCTCACGAGTTTGTCCTGATCCAAACTCTGGCTTCATTAAACAAACCAGAGCACAGAAGCGGCGCTGGAACAATGTCACCGACGAAGTGGGCAGCAACATGGCAATTGTTCAAAAGTCCGAGGAAAAACCAGTTCCGGATGAACAGGTAAATCAAGTACTAAATAATTCCGCATAGAATTTATCACCTAATGCGTTCATCGTATTATTTTTTTGTGTCCTGATGGTATGAATTTGTACTGGATACCGTATTTATTTTCTATTATTTCAAACAATCAAATGAATTCGCTTTAAAAAAATAAAAAAAAGAAGAGAAAATTTTTGTGCATTTTTCTTTTTGATACAGTTTACTTGCAGCTTACTTATGAAAATAAAGAAGATTCAATAATGGATATAAAATCACGTAGCATTTTTAAGTATTATTCATTGATTAGATGTGTATTTTCCAGGTATCGTACAGGCAGTTAGTTCCAGAGGATAAACAGCTTGAAAATGTTGCTTATCATAAGAAAATTTGTTACACATTCGAATCTCATTACCCTCATAATGAGAAGAAGCAAAAAGAAAGTGACGCAATTATTTCTGCTAAAGTGGCAGGTACAGAGGTTAGCTTTTTCATTGATTCAGGAGCATAAGTGAACACAATTACAAAGATTTTATTCGATAAAATCCTTGCAAATGAGTTCTCGTTGGATAAATTGTATGATCTAACCTACTCTTGCGATGTACCCACTAAGAGCATATGCAGCAAATGCAGATATTAACGTAATAGCGCAATTTTCGGCGGAACTATACATTTCACCCGACAGACCAGTTTATTTGGAAAAGTTTTACGTCGTTGAAGAATTTAGAGCTCTGCTGGGTTTTAATACAGCTACTAGATATGGCATTTTGGCTGTTGGTCTGGATGTTGTCGTTAAAAAATCGCAGGAAGATTCTTGGAAATGCGAGTTGAGAACGATAAGTGCTTTGGTAGAAACGGATTGTAAAGAGTTCCCTATGTTCAACATTCCACCAGTATCACTGAGGTACAACAAAGAAATGCCTCCGGCTCGGAATATCTATACGCATATTCCACTAGCATTCAGAGACTTGACTAAACAGAAATTGGATTACTTACTGCGAACAGGAATAATTGAAGTGGTTACACCTGACATGGACCGATCATTTTGTTCGTCCCTTCTGGTGGTTCCGAAGGACAGGGATGATATTCGCATAGTCATCGATTTGCGAGGTCCAAACCGGTGCATATACAGAACTCCCTTCAGAATGCCAACATTTGAATCGATTGTGATGGAGTTGCATGGTGCTAAATGGTTTTCAACCATCGACTTAACGAACGCATTTTTTCATGTGGTACTGCATGAAGATTGTCGCCACCTAACTAACTTTTTTGGGGGAGACTGTATGTATAGATATTGCAGACTACCATTTGGATTGACAAATGCACCGGACATCTTTCAAGAAACAGTTCAAACAGTTATCTTGAATGGCTGTAAAGGAGTCGTTAATTATTTGGACGACATTTTAGTATTTGGAGCAACAGAAAGCGAACACGATCAGAATCTCGCAGAAGTAATGAATCGACTTGAGAACCACAACGTTGAAATTAACACAAAAAAGTGTGCGATTCGTAAGCAGGAAGTAAAATTTCTTGGATTTAGTCTTTCTGCAGCTGGATGGAAAATAGAAACTGAGAAAATTTCAGCTATCCAAAATTTCCGTAGGCCCATTACAAATGCAGAAGTGAAAAGTTTTCTTGGCCTGATCAATTTCGTTGAAAGATTCATTCCCCAACGAGCAGACAAGACTCGGCTGCTTCGTGAACTGGCAAAGGCAGAGTCATTCTACTGGAACGAGGGATTAGAGGAAGAATTTGAATATTTACGAAACGAGGCTTGGAAGAAGATCAGCACTCTAGGATACTATAACAGAGAAGATAGAACAGAGCTTTTTGTAGATGCTTCCCCATTTGGGCTTGGTGCTGTGCTGGTGCAATTTGACATAGATTCAACTCCAAGAGTAATCGCCTGTGCATCGAAGGATCTTTCGGTAGCGGAACAGAAGTACCCTCATACCCAAAAAGAAGCTTTAGCTATGGTATGGGGTGTGGAGCGCTTTACCATGTATCTGATGAGCATTTCGTTTGTGATAAGGACAGATGCCGAATCGAATGAATTCATTTTCGACGGCCTACACAGGATTGGTAAACGGGCGGTTTCTCGAGCGGAAGCGTGGGCTTTAAGGCTTCAGCCTTATGATTTCCGGTAAATATCTTGATTTCTTTTGTTTAAAGTTGTAGTTTTTATTTTTTTATATTTAGAGTTGAACGGATTAGTGGCGACATGAATCTGGCGGATGCTTTGTCCAGGATGGTCATGAGATCTCAGCCATTAGAATCGTTTGACGAAGTGAGCGACAGACATCTACTTTATATGATCGATACAGGCTCTATGGAGATTTCTTGGAATGAAATAGAAGCTTGCGTCGAGAACGACACCGAGTTCGCCAAGGTAAGATCTGCCATTTTGATAGATACGAGTCGCAAGAGAAAGAACTTCGGACACTCGGGGCTATGCTATTTAAAGGAGATCGTATTATTTTGCCTGTGGCATTGAGAAGAAGAGCTATTCAATCTGCACATCAGGGTCATGTTGGTATAGGATCAACAAAAAGGATTCTCCGAGAATATTTTTGGTGGCCAAATATGAGCACCGAAGCAGCTAATTTCGTGAAACAGTGTGAAACGTGCTTAAGGCTATCCCGCAAGAACCCACCAATTCCACTCACAAGCAGGGAGCTCCCCAATGGTCCGTGGGAAATCCTGCAGTTGGACTTCTATACCGATAAGGAATTTGGACATGGTGAGTTCCTTGTCGTAGTTGACACTTACTCACGATACTTACACGTGGTCGAAATGAAGAATATAGACGCATATAGCACTAATGCAGCTCTTAACAACATTTTTGGTGTGTGGGGATTGCCTCTAGCTATTCAGAGTGACAATGGTCCCCCTTTTCAGAGCACAAATTTCATTAAAACCTGGGAAGATAAAGGAGTGAAGATTAAAAAATCAATTCCGCTCCATGCACAGTCGAATGGTGCAGTTGAATGCCAAAACAAAGGTATTAAAGATGCTTTGGCAGCTGCAAAACTCGACAAAATAAATTGGAAGACAGCATTAGAAAGATATGTTTCGGTTCATAACAAAGTGCTTCCCTTGTCCCGTTTGGGAGTAACGCCTTTTGAATTATTAGTGGGCTGGAAATTTAGAGGGACATTCCCATGTCTATGGGAGTCAAGCTCTGAAAAATTAGATCGAGGAGAAATCAAAGAAAAAGATGCAGACTCAAAGCTTCAGAGCAAGCAATATGCTGATTTGAAACGTGGAGCCAAGGAATCAGACATTGCGATTGGTGATAGAGTCATTATATCACAATCTAAACGTTTTAAATCAGACCCAACATTCGGATCCGAACGGTTTACGGTGGTTGCAAGGCAAGGAGCAAACATTGTAGTGAGGAGTGATAGAGGCGTTACCTATTCGCGAAACGTGCAAGATGCAAAGAAAGCACCGGAGGTAAATATTGAGCCTTCTACTGACTCAGCGGAGGAACAGGAAGATAAGCCACCGAGACCACAAAGATCCAGGAAAATTCCAAACAGGTTCAACGATATGCACCTTTATCGAATTTTCCAGTGACATCAACATTGAGGTAACTGTTCATCGATTGATAATGCATTTGTGTAAAATAAAAATAAAAAAATACAATAATGAAAACGTGATCCTCAAAAAGTTTTAACATTTGAAAGACAATCTATTATCCAAATCCAAAAAGGAGAGTAGGGGAGGAAGGAATTGTAGAGAAGTAATGAGCAAACACGATGTAACATTGAATTTAATAAAATAAATAAATATTATTATGTGCAAAATAAGACCATATTATATGTAAAGCTCGATTCGAGATTGTTGCGTCGACATTGGTAGTCGATATAATCTAAATGCGAAGCAGTGGGATGCACAGTGACACGATCGGTTGAATTGAGAGCCGAGAGCCTGCTTACGATTCAATGCGAGAAAACACGATCTGCGCACGAGAAAACTATGAGAGGTTGGAAGATGAGGAGAGGAACCGTTTCGTAATTATATGTGAATGTATGTGTGAGAAAAAGCAGAAACGAATTCTCGATTGGCGGTAGCTGAAAAGAAAGGTTGAATGTGTGTGAGCATGAAGAGCGAAAGTGGTGGATAAAAAAAATAAAAAAAAGGTTGTAAGATTCCCAGCGTACAGTTCCCGATTCATTCTTTCGGCTAATGTACTGAAGTACAGACGTGCTAGGCCTAACCATGGAAACACCGGTGGAACACGACAGGTAGATACCCTATTCAAGAAGTGGTTGCGAGCTCATACGAAGGTTTCGTGATCGCCAAAATCAACGGAATCTTCATGTGTAGTTGTTACGCACCCCCCAGATGGACGATGGAGAAGTTCCACGAGATGCTGAATGGACTTACCGAAGAGCTGATCGGACGACGACCGGTAGTCATCGGAGGAGACTTCAATGCTTGGGCAGTGGAGTGGGGAAGCAGATGTTCCAATGCAAGAGGGCACAGTCTGCTGGAAGCTCTGGCAAAACTGGAAGTTATGCTGACCAATAAAGGCACCAGCAGCACTTTTCGCAGAGATGGCCGGGAATCCATTATCGACGTTACTTTCTGCGGTCCATCGCTGGTGGCAAACATGGATTGGAGAGTGTGGGAAGGATATGCCCATAGCGACCATCAGGCGATCCGATATGGCATCGGCCAACGGAATACTGTGGCAGTACGGAGGAAGGCTTTCGACAAGGATCTTTTCGTTGAGGCACTTCGTGTGGACAGGAGTCCCGCAGATCTAAACGCGGACGAGCTGACAGAAACGTTAGTGAGAGGTCCAACGGTGCCCGCTGAAATGTGCCCAAAGAAGCTGAAAGTCATCGTGGAAGGACTTTTCCCGAAGCACGACCCAACGACCTGGCCACCTACACCGTAAGGAGAAGGAGAGGGAGATAACGTCGAAGTCACCAACGAGGAACTCGTAGCAGTGGCAAAAGGATTGAAGGTGAAGAAAGCTCCCGGTCCAGATGGAATCCCCAACGTAGCGTTGAAAGCGGCGATCCAATCATCTCCGGACATGTTCAGGATGGTGCTGCAGAAATGCCTGGACGAGGGTCTTTTCCCTAACAGGTGGAAGATACAGAAGCTAGTGTTGCTGCCGAAACCAGGAAAACCGCCGGGGGATCCAGCATCGTACAGGCCTATATGCCTGACACTCGGAAAACTCTTGGAGAGGATCATGCTAAACAGGCTGACCTAATCAACGGAGAGTAAGCACGGATTGTCAGAGAGACAGTTCGGATTCCGGCAAGGGAGATCGACGGTGGATGCAATTCGGACAGTGGTCGAGAGAGCCGAGAAGACGTCCAAACAGAAGCGGAGAGGAGATCGATATTGCGCCGTGATAACGATCGACGTCAAGAATGCGTTCAACAGCGCCAGCTGGGAGACCATCGCCGAAGCGCTGCATAGAATTAGGGTCCCTGACTACCTGTGCAGGATCCTGAGGAGTTATTTCCAGAACCGGGTTCTGGTCTACGAAACAGACATGGGACAAAGATCGATTAGGATCACAGTGGGAGTTTCACAACGCTCCATCCTTGGCCCAACGCTCTGGAACGGGATGTACAACGGCGTGCTGACGCCGAAACTGCCCAAAGGAATTGAGATCGTTGACTTTGCGGACGACGTCGTGTTGGCGACCGAGGCGATCGACATGATTGGTAACTGGATGCAAGGAGCGAAGCTGCAGATAGCCCACCACAAAACGGAAGTGCTATTGGTCAATAACTGTAAAGCGGTACAGCGGGCAGAAATCACCGTCGGGGAGCACGCCATAGCCTCGAAGCGTGTGTTGAAAGACCTGGGAGTAATGATCGATGACCGGCTAAACTTCAACAGCCACGTCGAATATGCCTGTGAGAAGGCTTCGAAGGCCATCAACGCGATAGCTAGAATCATGCCGAACAACGCTGGTCCCAGCAGTAGCAAGAGGCGTCTTCTGGCCAGTGTGTCGTCATCGATACTGAGGTATGGAGGTCCAGCCTGGGTCGCAGCATTGGAAACGAAGCAGAACTAAAGGAAACTGAGCAGTACGTTCCGGCTCATGGCCATGCGAGTCGTGAGTGCGTACAGAACCATCTCGTCGGAAGCAGTATGCGTTATCGCCGAAATGATCGCTATTAGCATCAGCGTGGCGGAGGACACCGAGTGCTACAGACGGAGAGAAGCCGTAAGAGTACGAAAAGTTGTGAGAGTGGAGTCATTGGCTAAGTGGCAAAAGGAGTGGAACATGACGGAGAACGGTAGATGGCCACATAGACTAATAACGATTCTTTCGACCTGGGTGAACAGAAAACACGGAGAAGTCAACTTCCACCTAACGCAGTTCCTGTCTGGCCACGGCTGCTTCAAGAAATACTTGCATCGGTTTGGACACGCAGCGTCACCCTTCTGTCCGGAGTGTGGCAACGTCGATGAAACGCCGGAGCATGTGGTCTTCGACTGTCCAAGGTTCGAGGCAGTGCGAAGGGAGATGCCTGTCCTTAACGTGGAGAATGTCGTCGTTGAAATGTGTCGATAGGAGGGCACTTAGAATGCCGTCAGTAGGGCAGTCACGCAGATCATGTCGGAGCTGCAGCGTAAATGGAGAGAAGAGCAGCGATCTAGCAACGCCAGCTAGCGCTGAGAGTATAACAAGTGCATGTAGTCGCTTCACATTGGTCCCGGGGGATCCAGGCAGAGGAGAGAGTAAGAAATGGGTTTTAGTGGAGCTGCACTAGGCAACTAGTGGATACCACACCGTGCCAACTTCACTACAGGCCAGGCTTCTTGAAGCTTTCCTAAACCTTACTATAAAAAAACAACAACAACACACACACATACACACATGGTTCATGTAAATATTTCTAATTTCTTCATCAACTTTAATTCTTGAACATTTATTAATCGAATAAACATTGAATTCATGAATAAAATATTAATTTAAGTAAACCGTGATGAAAGTTGTCGGGCGCATCTCTCAGTTCACTACCCAAGTCGGCTGACATACATTTCTGAAAGTACGTTTTCAAAAAATATCCATAAAACCCAGAAGAGACTCAATCCCTCTTTCATGATATGCATTTTAATATTAATGTTTACACACATTCAATGATTTCAATTGATTCTAATTATTGAACGCTTTTTGCTGTAAAACAAATTGAAACGTTGATGGGTTAAACATTCAAAAAGTTATTGTCATCCCAACTAAAACAAGATTAATGAGTGAAAAAATAAGCGCTGCTATCAAAAATAGATACGTTCCCAACAACGAACGCAAATGCCACCTAAACATTGCCTTCGGTCTTGAAACAACTTTTTGGACACTTATCAATATCAAGTGTGTCCAATTTCCAATATATTACGACAGCGATGAAATACATATACGTTCAGAATTGCTAGTTATCTAAGAAAATCATCCTCATGTTATTTATCATATTGTTTCTCTAAGGGCTCATGCGCAGAACCTTCTTATTGTAAACATTTTTAAGGAAGCTTGCTATCAATTGCCTTGTTTACGCCAGTGTAGGATGACGAATTAGCTGTTCATTAAAACTGTTGGTAAAAATACGACTTTTCATTCACGGAAATGCAATTTTCTAGGCGCTAACGAACCGTGCTCAATACGTCGTAGATGTACTAAGTCAAATGCCGTGTGCTCATATAATTGAGTAATTAAAAACTTTTTCTCGTACAACACACTCTTCTGATGAATTTCAATGGGAGCGGCAAGCGTGAGAAAAACTTTTTGATGCGACGGTAGTGCGTGTGTTTGACATTTTAGAAATCATTTTTGATCTTATCTTATTTAAAAAAAAAAGTAGAATGGTCTGTGCCTAGGAGCACGAACGGAAGCTTGACGTGGGACCGCTAGTGAACGGAACAAATATGTAGATCCTTTAGTTATTTTAATTGATCGGTAATCTATTATCTTAACTCTTTCCGTTTTTGAATGGTGGCCCTGAGAAGGGCTGTTATTTGTTTTTTTTGTGTCCTTTTGATCATTTGTGATTATTGATACCTGTAATTTTAAAAGTTTGTTGTGACATTAAATTCTGAATGATCATATTACCAGCAATCAATACGAAACTAACGATTTTAAATTGGCTCACCACTTTAGTAGCCTATTGGTCCCAAGCAAACGATTAACGTACCCTATTCTAGTCGAAATTCTAGTACTACGCAATGTTTGTTTTGATTCGCTATGAAAGTTTGACAGATAAAATGAGGGGTTATTGGTTTTTCCTATGTTTCGAGGGGTGAATCGATTAACTTGGGACCGAAGAGAGTACCAGAGCTGTGCCAAAAAGTTGAGCACGTTTCTTCGGAACCTTCTGGTCTTAGAGTTACCTCTATGATATTACTACTTACCTATATCAGTAAGTATGGGCCGATAGTAAGAGAAATAGGTGATGAATACTATACTTCTAAGGGATGATGCGTATATTATGTCACGCTCTAGGGGGGTGGGGGTTGCTCTATGTCTAAGATTTTGTGACAAGCAATGCATTAGGTATAGGAAAAACGTCACGATAGGGGAGGGGGGGGGTAAATTTCTCCTCGATTTAGCATGACATAATTAATGCATAGGCCCTAAGATCTGGAATAGCACAAAGGATATGAGTGGTCGGTA